AAAAAAAAAAAAAAAAAAAAAAAAACGTAACAACGTTGCTTCGCTTCGACTAGGATGATAAAGAAGGAAGGGAAACACATCTTGGAAAAGACATGTCCCACCTTTTTTTCACCTAAAGGAAGAGAGCAAAACGAATGGCCAACTGCGTCACACGTCTCTACTACAGGCCGCATTTCCTAAACTTGTAATCGACGAAACTCCCATAGTACAGTGCCAGTTGGTGGAGCGGTTTATTTAGCTGGTGCAAAAGGAAGAGTAAAATACACGCACTGATTCCTTTGTTACACGTCGATATGACCGTCTTCTGCTCATTCAGAAGATCGTACTTGTCACAAATATTCTTTATTTCGGCCTCATTTTTAAAAGTAAAAAATTTATATTTCTCATCATGGGTGTTAATAAAATGGTGATAAGGTATGTTAACTGAAAAGGGAATGAAATTGTCCACTTTATCCTTTTCATTAATGGGCAACAACGCACTAAAGGAACTATTCGGCCTCGTGTCCACCAGGACAAATCGTCCCATGTCATCATTTTGTTTCTTCCTTTCGGTGATGAAATTGTCTATATCTGCATAATGGTATATGCTTTTTTTCCAATTTTCATTTATTTGTTTTTTGTTTTTTTCTACATGTTCCTTTATCAGTTTTTCGACTTGGATAATTTTCTCACTCTGAGGAGGATGCTCACTGCCCTCGCCCTTCCCACCTGTTGCAATCACATCTCTTTCCTCATTGAGCCATTTATTCAAGCCGCCATTTAAAATTTGCACATTTTGGAATCCATATAATTTGAACATGAACCAAATTCTGGGGGTATAAAATATTTCATCTTTTTCGTAAAGAATTACAGGTACATTTTCTAGTGCATTTATTTTTATGTCCACAAGATTTTCCACTAGGACCTTTTTTAGGTAGGAGAAAAACTCTTCTTGTGTTGGGAAAAAAAAAGAAAAATTGGGATTTTCATTCGAAGTAACTATCGAATTGAAGGAGATGCTTCCTTCTATTATTTCATCCTCATCGTGGTCATCAAAGGAGTTGTTATCTTTTTCCCCCTGCCTGATATTGTAACAATTTGTGAGAAAGAGCAAATGCTCCCTTTTGTTCTTTATAAGGTCGTGCAGCTCGTTCGTCTCGATGAGATGCTTATACGTGTGCGTTTTCATTGTGCTGAAACGTTTCAGTCTTGTTTTTAACCTTGGTATGTATGTCGTTTGGGGGAAATTTATAACCAGGGTCTTTCTTAACTCGGCCACTTTCGCGCAATTGCAACTCCTCATTGTGTGTAACTGTGTGAGTCGTTACTATTTTTGTGGCAGCACGGGGACAGGGGTGTATTTTGTTCTTTTTTTTTCGCTCGAATACGTATGTGGGTTTTCCTTTAGAAAACGTGACCCTTTCAGCGACGATCAACACACCGACGTTTTTCTGCTAGAATAAGTGCTTACTCAAAGGTGAGGTACTATTTTTTTTTTTTTTTTTTTTATAACTCCTAATTTTGAAGAGCACAAAAAAAATGTGCGCACACGCCTTTTCTTATACCATTTTCATTTTTTCCACATTATTATTTGCATGTAAGAAGTCCAACACTGTTAAGGCGCAGAGGAATTAAGTTGTTCCAGAGGGGGGTTTCTATGTCAACGCTAGTTGGCACTTCCTCCATATAGCAAACTATTTAAGTGGCATTTTTTCTTTCCGCCGCTTGAATTTTTTTTTTCCTCACGAATCGAACATTTCTCAGTTTTATAATAGGTGGCGGTTTGGTCCGATTGTCCGTGGCGGCACGCTCTCTTTCCCATAGCACTGCGTTGTCTACGTTGCTTCGTATTTTTTGTTGTTTTTTTTTCCTGAGCGTAGTTATTTCCAACGGGGTGGGGAAAAAATGCTACTCAACAAAGGGTTTTTCACACGTTACGTTAAAATCGCTTTACTCATACTTTACTGCGTAGTGAGAAACGACGAACGAAACGTGGTGTGCTACGCTGCAATTGGGAGGACTCTATTGACACCTTGGAAACAATAAGCATTAGCATTGTCTGGGTATGTGAATACCCAATGAACATGTTCACTCGTCCATTGTGTGGGACACATTCTTTTTTTTTCCCCCTGGTTCATTCAAGAAAAGCGTCATTCGGACGTACAAATGAGTTTATGCGCGAAAATGGTGTACACGAAAAATGAATGAAAAGAAGAATTCATTTATGCAGAGTTATATGTATATATTATCTCGCTGGTAAGTTTCCTTTAACGTGAAACTTTTTTAAAGTTACATTTGTGTTAAGTGTGAAAAAGGCAAATTTTACGAACCACCTGTCCATTCAGCAAAAGTGCGCTGTAAATTTTGCCCGTGTGCAAGGGGAGGCGATGCATACGCGGTGACGTTCGTATGAGCGTTGATACTCTTACGCGTATGCATAGGTGTTTGCATGCCCTGCAACGCAGAGATAACTTGTTCGGTTTTGCCACGTTGCTGCTGCGGCACCTCCACACTTCACTTTTTGGCAACGTCTTTTTTCGACTCTTCAGTTGTTCCCCAGCCGCATTCGAAAAAGGATATGGTATCCCATTTTAACAGGGTTTTAATTTTCGTGCCCTGCGCCACATGGCACAGTTATTATTTTCAAGTTAACATTTCTCGCAGTTAAAATGCGCGCTCCGCCATTTCGGCGTTTTCCTTTTTTTTTTCCAAGTGTGAATGCAAACAGCGGTTAAACAGCGCTTTATTTGGACAACTCAATTTTTGAGGTAAAAAAAAAAAAAAAAAAAAAAAAAAAAAAAAAAAAAACGTAACAACGTTGCTTCGCTTCGACTAGGATGATAAAGAAGGAAGGGAAACACATCTTGGAAAAGACATGTCCCACCTTTTTTTCACCTAAAGGAAGAGAGCAAAACGAATGGCCAACTGCGTCACACGTCTCTACTACAGGCCGCATTTCCTAAACTTGTAATCGACGAAACTCCCATAGTACAGTGCCAGTTGGTGGAGCGGTTTATTTAGCTGGTGCAAAAGGAAGAGTAAAATACACGCACTGATTCCTTTGTTACACGTCGATATGACCGTCTTCTGCTCATTCAGAAGATCGTACTTGTCACAAATATTCTTTATTTCGGCCTCATTTTTAAAAGTAAAAAATTTATATTTCTCATCATGGGTGTTAATAAAATGGTGATAAGGTATGTTAACTGAAAAGGGAATGAAATTGTCCACTTTATCCTTTTCATTAATGGGCAACAACGCACTAAAGGAACTATTCGGCCTCGTGTCCACCAGGACAAATCGTCCCATGTCATCATTTTGTTTCTTCCTTTCGGTGATGAAATTGTCTATATCTGCATAATGGTATATGCTTTTTTTCCAATTTTCATTTATTTGTTTTTTGTTTTTTTCTACATGTTCCTTTATCAGTTTTTCGACTTGGATAATTTTCTCACTCTGAGGAGGATGCTCACTGCCCTCGCCCTTCCCACCTGTTGCAATCACATCTCTTTCCTCATTGAGCCATTTATTCAAGCCGCCATTTAAAATTTGCACATTTTGGAATCCATATAATTTGAACATGAACCAAATTCTGGGGGTATAAAATATTTCATCTTTTTCGTAAAGAATTACAGGTACATTTTCTAGTGCATTTATTTTTATGTCCACAAGATTTTCCACTAGGACCTTTTTTAGGTAGGAGAAAAACTCTTCTTGTGTTGGGAAAAAAAAAGAAAAATTGGGATTTTCATTCGAAGTAACTATCGAATTGAAGGAGATGCTTCCTTCTATTATTTCATCCTCATCGTGGTCATCAAAGGAGTTGTTATCTTTTTCCCCCTGCCTGATATTGTAACAATTTGTGAGAAAGAGCAAATGCTCCCTTTTGTTCTTTATAAGGTCGTGCAGCTCGTTCGTCTCGATGAGATGCTTATACGTGTGCGTTTTCATTGTGCTGAAACGTTTCAGTCTTGTTTTTAACCTTGGTATGTATGTCGTTTGGGGGAAATTTATAACCAGGGTCTTTCTTAACTCGGCCACTTTCGCGCAATTGCAACTCCTCATTGTGTGTAACTGTGTGAGTCGTTACTATTTTTGTGGCAGCACGGGGACAGGGGTGTATTTTGTTCTTTTTTTTTCGCTCGAATACGTATGTGGGTTTTCCTTTAGAAAACGTGACCCTTTCAGCGACGATCAACACACCGACGTTTTTCTGCTAGAATAAGTGCTTACTCAAAGGTGAGGTACTATTTTTTTTTTTTTTTTTTTTATAACTCCTAATTTTGAAGAGCACAAAAAAAATGTGCGCACACGCCTTTTCTTATACCATTTTCATTTTTTCCACATTATTATTTGCATGTAAGAAGTCCAACACTGTTAAGGCGCAGAGGAATTAAGTTGTTCCAGAGGGGGGTTTCTATGTCAACGCTAGTTGGCACTTCCTCCATATAGCAAACTATTTAAGTGGCATTTTTTCTTTCCGCCGCTTGAATTTTTTTTTTCCTCACGAATCGAACATTTCTCAGTTTTATAATAGGTGGCGGTTTGGTCCGATTGTCCGTGGCGGCACGCTCTCTTTCCCATAGCACTGCGTTGTCTACGTTGCTTCGTATTTTTTGTTGTTTTTTTTTCCTGAGCGTAGTTATTTCCAACGGGGTGGGGAAAAAATGCTACTCAACAAAGGGTTTTTCACACGTTACGTTAAAATCGCTTTACTCATACTTTACTGCGTAGTGAGAAACGACGAACGAAACGTGGTGTGCTACGCTGCAATTGGGAGGACTCTATTGACACCTTGGAAACAATAAGCATTAGCATTGTCTGGGTATGTGAATACCCAATGAACATGTTCACTCGTCCATTGTGTGGGACACATTCTTTTTTTTTCCCCCTGGTTCATTCAAGAAAAGCGTCATTCGGACGTACAAATGAGTTTATGCGCGAAAATGGTGTACACGAAAAATGAATGAAAAGAAGAATTCATTTATGCAGAGTTATATGTATATATTATCTCGCTGGTAAGTTTCCTTTAACGTGAAACTTTTTTAAAGTTACATTTGTGTTAAGTGTGAAAAAGGCAAATTTTACGAACCACCTGTCCATTCAGCAAAAGTGCGCTGTAAATTTTGCCCGTGTGCAAGGGGAGGCGATGCATACGCGGTGACGTTCGTATGAGCGTTGATACTCTTACGCGTATGCATAGGTGTTTGCATGCCCTGCAACGCAGAGATAACTTGTTCGGTTTTGCCACGTTGCTGCTGCGGCACCTCCACACTTCACTTTTTGGCAACGTCTTTTTTCGACTCTTCAGTTGTTCCCCAGCCGCATTCGAAAAAGGATATGGTATCCCATTTTAACAGGGTTTTAATTTTCGTGCCCTGCGCCACATGGCACAGTTATTATTTTCAAGTTAACATTTCTCGCAGTTAAAATGCGCGCTCCGCCATTTCGGCGTTTTCCTTTTTTTTTTCCAAGTGTGAATGCAAACAGCGGTTAAACAGCGCTTTATTTGGACAACTCAATTTTTGAGGTAAAAAAAAAAAAAAAAAAAAAAAAAAAAAAAAAAAAAAAAACGCAATGGTGTGAAATGAAGCGAAAGACAGGTGAACGGCAAAAAAAATATTGTTTCCCAATTTTGCAAACAGACGGCAACACAGCAGCAGGTGGTTGCCAAAACGGACAATCGAAGACATACATTTTTTTTTTTTTTTTTTGGCCTTTTGACATCGCTCCTTACCGTTACAAACGCACTTGCTCCATATTATTTTTCGAAAAAGTATAACAATTTTGAGTTTTTCCCTGGTTAACACATTTCTGCGTGTGTTAAGTAAAGGACCAAATGTGCACAGTTGTGGACAGGGTGCGGGGAAAAACGCTGTTTGACATTTTCCTGTAAATGTGATTGAGACCGGGGAGCGGTGGGATGGACGCAGTCAAAGTGGACACCAGCATTTTTAAAAAATGGCGTTATATCAGAAGAAAGAGAAAAGGGAAAGGACAACACAGAGGCTTAACACGCCTCCGGAAGTGGACTGTCCGTCACAGGAAGCACTCAAGCACAGAGACAGCCGCGTCGACAGAAAGGTGCACATGGGACACACGGAAAAGTGTAGCTGTCACCCCATACTGTAAGGAACAAATAAAACAAAGGGGTAAGAGAACATTCGTTTTGAGAAAGACACAGAGGAGAAGCAGCATGGGTGCCGAAGAAACAAAAACGAGTGTAGACAAGGATGATATTTTTACAAACCACAAAATGAACAATTCGAAGCTGCTACTGTTGTTAGCAAAATATATGCACTCCTGGGACATATCGAGGAAGAGTTCCCACGAGGCAAATTGTTACAGTGACTCGACATGCGCGTCGTCAAAAAAGAATGTGCACATCTGGAAGGACAAAAGAGAGAAAGAAGATCTATACTCTGAGAGAGATACCAAAAAGTGGAAACACAACTGCAGGTATGAGAAGGAAAGGGACTTAAATTTTATGAACCATGTGAACTGCAACATGACTGTGCAAGTTCACTCACTCTTTACCTTCTTTTGCACAAAATTAAGAATTAAAGATAAGGCATATTTCGACAAGAAAAATATGTTAAATAAAATTTCCTCTAAGGAAAAAAGCGCATGGATTCAGAAGCATGGTAGTAAGGACTATTCTACCAAGCTAAAAAATCAATACATCCCAAAAGATAAGTTAAAAATTATGAGTGACATTAAGGGCAAACCTAGCAAAGCTCCTCCTCCATCTTACAAGACGCAAAGCACGCGGATCAACAACGATGAGGAGGCGTTGGGGGAGAAGGGGCAGGTGACGGAGGGAACAAATGCACAACATACCATTGCCGATAGTAATAACGATAATAGGAGTGAAAATGCTACAAATGCTTTTGAGATGGAAGTGGGAAAAGGAACCCCCGAAGAGGACAACCAATCACAAATTAATGAAGACCAATTTGTTGATGAATTGGATTTAGAAGATTTCGACAGCGATGGAAATAAAAAGGAAAAGACTTATTACACAGATCGGTGCATACTGGACAAGAGTGTCAAACGGGTTTCCATCCTAGACAAGTTAAGTATAGGGCTCGACGATAAACAGAATGGAAAGGAGAATTACCAAGGAGTAAAAAGGGAGGTGCTGAATGGCAAAAATGGGAAAGTAGCAACGCACTCGTATGCAAATAAAGCCGAGTTAATAAAGAACCAGTTTCCCAATAAGGAAAAGGGGCGCCCTTACATTGGTATAACCGAGGACGGGGGAGAGGTCGCCAATTTGAAGGACTCCTACGATGGCACTGGGCCCAGTGCGGCGTACCCAAAGGAGAGCAGTAGTAGCGGTAACAACGTGGGGGCATACCCAATAGACAATTACAAAATGCACCCCCCCAGGAAGGGATCCATCAAGAACCCACCCACAGGGGAGGTCACCATGGACGCCCAGACACTGAGGGCGACAGAGCCCTCGGTAAGTGGGCAAACGGGGTATGCCAATAACGGCCAAGTTCTATACGACTTGAACAATCAGATGGGGTATAACCCGTATGGTCCCCCCAATTATCAAATGAATTGTCCCCCCAATTACCAATTGAATTATCCAGCCAATTTTTCGATGAATGAGCCTCCCAATTTTCCACTAAGCGGCCAGCCCAATTTTGCTGCGAACGCACCAGCTAATTTCCCGGTGAACAGCGAGGCGGGAATTTACCCCAACTACAGTAATTACCCCAATTATGGAAATTACCCCAATTATGGAAATTACCCCAATTATGGAAATTACCCTAATAATGGAAATAACCCTAATTACAGCAATGGTGAGAGCTATCCCCAATGGGCAAACCACCAACCGTACGGCAACATCGGCGGTGGCCCAGCCGAGGGGGGAGCAAGACCAAGCGAAAACAACATTAATCAAACGAACCTAGTGGCGTATAGTAATAACCAGAGGAAAGTGAAGTACGACGAGGATTTCACACTCAACTATATTCTTCGAAAGTGCGAAGACGATGATAAGTTCTTCTGCAGCAACGATGAGGACAGTGTAAACAACGGGGCAGGAAACAAAAACGAGTTGAAGAAATACACAGAAGGCATGAATAGGATAGTAGAGCAAATGTACTTTTATGATAATTTTTATGACGAATTCAAAATATGTGAAGAGAAAAAAGAAGATTCGAATGTCACGCACACCATTATGGACACGTCCTTAAATTTAAATGTGATTGATGCGGATGCGGACATGCAGAAAGAGAGCAAAGACAACCAGGAGCTGATTTCCCAGATGGAGTTAAAAATTAATGAGCTAGAAAAAAATATAGAAGAATTAAAAAAACAAAATCAAATGAATGACAAAGGAAGGAATAGCAAAGGAGAGGAAGACGGGGATGGGGAGAAGAAGGGCGCAAAGGGGGAAACAGCCGAGGGGGGCAAGAAGTCCAAGAAAAGCGCAGTCATACACAAACTTAAAAGAGAAATTGAGAGAATAAAAAGGGAAAACATGAAGAAGAAAAAAAAAGCCAAAGATAAGAACAAGGGAAAGGGGAAAGGGAAGGATGGCGTGGCTCCACAGGAAGAGGAAGCGCCAAAGGGGGAACAACCTGGCAGCGGCGTAGTGGACAACGCGAACCAGGATAATCGCAGCGAGGACAATTTTAACCTTGACAATCTCATCAACGCAGACCAGCTGAATACATTCAAAAACGAAATTCTGAACAACGTATATTATTACATATACGAATCGTATGACCAAAAGGATTTTGAGGTTTTGGAAAACCTAGCAAAAAAGCACGAGACGAAAGGGCGAAGAATAACCTACGACGTGAATTTGCCCAAGCATAGCTTTAAGCACAAAAGGACATCCAGCGCCTGGTTTTTAAACCCCTTGTATGAAAATTACATGCTTGAGAAGGCAAAAAAAAAAAAAAAAACGAAAAAGGATGATATGTCTAGCTCAGCATATGACAAGGTGGAATTTCTCTTCCACGAATACGAACCGGACAATGTTGTAAAATTAAAAGAAGAAAATAAAAGTGGAGCCATGTCAGAAATCAGGGATAGCGATTTTTCTTATGAAAGTTTCATAAGTGAGAAAAAAAAAAAAATAAAAAAAGACAAAATTGATCTGATCAAAATGAAGAATGAAATTATCCGGAAAAGGGGAAAAACTAATACCCTCCAAAGGAAAGAGGCGGATGTGATGGAAAACTCTGTAATGGTAACGTTAGAAGGGGGAGTTAAGGAAGGGTATGATACAAAAGAGAAACTGAATCAGGATCATCCCTCGAAGGATCCTCAACAGGGGGAGGGAAAACAGACTCAAAACGACGTGGTGAATGATTTGTTCGTGGCGATAAACAATTACGTGCCAGACAAGTCCCTATTTGATATTTTCAATTTTGACTCGGACGATGAGGGTGTAGACAACACAAGGGGGGATGAGGGATGCAAGGCGGAGAAAGGTGTGATGAACCAAGATGGAGTTGCTCTAAAGAAACACGCAGTGAAGAAAGTCGAGCCCGAAGGGGCAAGGTGCGTCGAAGAGGCTAGTGCCCCAAAGGACGCACGCTCTGAAAGGGAAGACGCCGATGTGAACGACGAAATTGAGAAGAAACGGAAAGAGAAGGAACTGCTCGAGCTGGAAATAGAAAACGCTCGAAAAAAAAAACAGTTGGAGGAGTTAGAGCTGCAGCTGCTAGAAAGGAAAAAAATGGCCCTGCTAGCGGATAGGTCACTAACAGCGGGGAACGGGGACGTGAATGTAGACGACGAAACAAACTTAGCGGATGATGTAAAGGGTGAACCCCCAGTCGATGTCGAGGTGCAGAAGGGGGCCAGCGGAGAGGAAACCAAAAATGAAGGGGCGCAGAACGGAGAACAATCCGCGTCCAACCAAGTGATCGAAGTGAGCCCAGACACGACGCTAAGGGATAAGGGTGACCAACACGCAGAAAAGGAAAGAGGCGAAAGCGGCAAGAATGAACTACCATCAGTGCAGGAAAACGAAATAAACGACTGCCTCAATGACTATTTAAACAAACAGAAAAAGAAGAAGAAAAAAAAAAACAACTGGGCATTGTATGGAAGGCCCAAAGTGGAAAGGGAAAGAAATACCATCCTTAGAAGACTATCAACCTCCAAGAGTGACAGCGGGTTTAACGACTACGCCTATTTTGCGGAACGCTTTTTCGAAGTGGTTACAGGTTATCGCAGTGACCCTGATGAGTACGAGTGCAGTGAAGGGGGAAGTGGAGGGGACAGGATTGCTCAAGTTAGAGAACGTGGAGATCATGGAGAAGGCTCCCAACATGGACAAGGACATTTTCCAAAAGACCACAGCGCAACCATCCTTCACATAAATGAAAAGATGATAAAAGACGTAGACCAATGTGACGCCTTTCACAAGTTAGGAAGACCAAAATACAAAAAAAAAAGAATCTACCAGAGGTTCAAATCTACTACACACAATACCATTTTAAAAAAGAATAGCTTGAAGCAGAAAAAAAAATGTATAAAACGATCCACGCCCAAAAATGAACCCCCCAAATTTTTTGAAGAAAATGAAAGAATCTTAGAAAGGACGAAACTCAAGTTAAAGGAAAAACTATCCAACAGAGGAGCACTCACATTTTTAGATAAGCTGTTGAAGAACAATAACATCCTGTTCTGGGAAAACCCAAATGAAGGAGACGCCAATTTTATTAAAAACAGGATGACCGATGTGACGTCGCAGAGCGGAAGTGAGGAAGACAAAATGTTAGACTTGAAATATAAGAGGAAGTTAATTTACCAGGCACTGGGAAGTAGCAGCGGCGTGGGGGATGCACGAGGAGCAAATGTGGAGGAAGAAGACAGGAACGAGGATTTGTTCAGAACCGCGGAGATGAAGCGGTTAGAAGAGGAGAAGCGGTTGGAGGAGGAGAAGCGGTTGGAGGAGGTGAAGCGGTTGGAGGAGGTGAAGCGGCTGGAAGAGATAAAGCGGATAGAAGAGGTGAGACATTTGGAAGAGATGAGGCTGTTAGAGGAGAAAAATAGGTTAGAAGAGGAGAGGCGGCTGGAAGAGATAAAGCGATTAGAAGAGGTTAGGCATTTAGAGGAGATGAAACTCTTGGAGGAGAAAAAGCGGTTAGAAGAGCAGAAGCGGCTGGAAGAGATAAAGCGATTAGAAGAGGCGAGACATTTAGAAGAGATGAAACTGTTGGAGGAGATGAAACAAGCGGAGGTGGAGAAGCGGCTGGACGAGATAAAGAGATTAGAGGAGATGAGGCTCTTGGAGGAGATGAAGCGATTAGAAGAGGCGAAGTGGGCGAAAAAGGCACGTCGCCTGGAGGAAATGAAGCAGCTGGAAGAAAAGCGGCTAGCTCAGGTGAAAAGACAGGTTGAGTTGAGGCAGCTGCAGGAAAAGAGGCTAAGTGAGGCGAAACGAGAAGAGGAACAAAGGGGGGAAGCAAAAAGGACGGAGCAGCAGGCTAAAGCTGGATATATAGAAATGACCCCACGAGAGGAAGATAAGAAAACGGAACAGACACAACAAAGGAAGGATCTATTTAGAAATATTATGAAACAAATTTATACGGTGAATCCACTAGCGTACTATCTGAAGGAGGATAAGGACAAAGGCGAGAAGGAGAAAAATCACGAGGGAAAAGAAGACAGCGATGAAATGGATTTAAAAGTGGAAAAGTCCTCATTGGAGGTAGATAATTCAAAAGGCACAGAGAGGAACATTTTTATTGATGAAAAAAATAATTTAAATATCGACAAAAGGGGAGAGCAGGAAGGGGAAGTAACCACTGCAAAGGGAGAGGAGAATGTGAGGGATGAGCAAACGAAGGAGGGGAAACATCTACCGAACCTTTCTTGTGCAAAAAATTACTCCATATTTGAAAAAATGGAAAGGCAAAGGAAGAGGAGTTTTAGGGGGAAGACAAAAATGCATGGGAAGAGGGACTTGTCCAAAAACGCCTACGTGAACAATTCTTTAATAATCAGCCATGTGATAAGTAGGGGGAAGGATCAAGAGCAACATGTGCCGAGTGCCCAGGGGAGGGACTCTGCTGCGGAGGAGACGGACGGTGAAGCAGAAAACTACGTCGAAACACGGGACGATGCGAACCACATGACCGTACTGGATGAAGAGAAAAAGAAAAAGTTGCTAAAAATGAGAAAACTAAACCTCAAGTATAGCAACGCATATGAGGGGAATCTGCGCAGTGCGATAGGGGAAGGCGCTTCAGTGTCGAGTCAGGTAGACGAGTTGTTTGACGTGGATGAAGAGGATTTCTTCGCCACAGAAACGGAAGACTCCTTTTTGAAAATCGACGATGAGGATGTAGAGCAGGAAGAAGCCACCATGGAAGATATAAAAACGCGCGTTTATAGAGAACTGTATGGTGGAAGTGGGAGCAAAAGTAACTTAGAGTTGTCATCTCTTTGGGCCGATGAATCCCCCCACGGTGACAGTTCCCCTTTTTACTCTGCGGAGCTAAAAAATCTGAGCAGTTACGATTTGTACAATAAGCAAATAAGCACAGATGAGGTCATGTGGAGAAATGCAAAACGGCTTTCCCATAAAAACCAGTTGGTGAGTAAGAGCAGTGAAGAAGAGATAGAAGCGAATGATAACATCTCGAAAAGCAGCCAAGATGCTTACTTTGATTTTGAAAAAAAAAAAACTTTTAGCATGGAAGACAAATATAATATGTATGCAAATAGTGTTAGTATTTTATCCAGTGATGATTCAATTCTTGCTAGGAGAAAAATGTATTACTTGGATTCTGTGAGAAGTCACTACGATGAAGGGACAGACCCCTTCACTAAGTACTCCTTCGAAAAGATAGACGCAAGACATTATCACCGCGACAGGAACTTTGCACCAGACGAACACCATAGCGGCAGTGATGACGAGATCCTTGCGACGGTGATGAAAAATTTAAACGGCTTGAATAAGAAGATAAAGTCTATAGGAATGAGTTACCACATTGAGAATGAGGGGCGTGGGAACATGTCCAGTGGGGTCGAGGGATACCTCCACAGGCGGCGCTCCGGGGAAGTTCGCCATGTCGGTAGTTTCCATGCTGATGGGTACTACACTGGTGGATACCACACCGGGGGGCACTATACGGATGCCCACCACGACGACCTTTCCTCGTTTTCCCTTTACCACAGCAAAACCCAGCCACACATGAACACCGCGAGGAATTTCCAAAGGGTGTACTCGCGCCAGTAAATCTAACGGTGGGTACCGTCCACTTTCCCCCCAAAAAAAACTATCCTGTGCTGATACGCAAGCAGCGTTAAATATATCGCATGTACAGGTTGTAAGTATTATTGCATACAATATTTATGCAGGCTTTTTTTTTTTTTTTTTGTTTTAAAAAAGCAACACCCACTGATGAGATTTAACAAAAAAAAAGAGAACACAAGTGAAATGGGATAGCGTATGTTTATTCTCTACTTGGGGTAATATATATCTCTGACTGGATCCACTTAGATGGGAAAATTGGCGACATGCCGCGTTTTTGTTTTTTTTAATTCGTTCCCAAGTGCATCGTTCAGGGCATTGGCCTAGCGTATGTATTTTGCACTTTTAAATGCGCCGCTGGTGAGGGCGAAGAAGAAAAGAAAGGGCCTAGGGCGCGCAGGCACATATACAAACAATACATATATAGTTCTAACCGCATATATAGGGCGTATTATGCATCACCGCGCAGTTGCGCCGCTGGCGTAGAGCGAAACGTGAAGGCCCAGCGTAGTAAATGCCCTTGCATAGAAAATAATAGCTTATGGTAAAAAAAAAAGCAAAAATTAAAAAAATGACACTGTGAACGGGGTGCGTGGCGAACAAAAGCGCAAGCGTAAATATATATATATACCGCAGCGCATGGAAGCGGTGTGACTTGCCTACGAGAACTTGTATGCGCGCAAATGTACTTGGGTTCGCATATGCATAATCTTGCCATCCACTTGTATGTTCGAAAATAATACGGGCAAGATGCGCATTTCCTTTTTTTTTTTTTATAGGTGGATCCACAAAAGTTTTTCAGTTCATTTTGTGCCTTCATCTACGCGATCATTTCCGTTTCCATTTTCGTGTTAATTTTTTTCTGAGCCACATTATACTTTTGGAGGCTTCCCTTATATGAAAATCCACGTTTATAAATTTTAGCGAGTGTACAATTTTCAGCCTACGTTTTGAACTGTATAACATTTGCAAGTCACGCTATATAACACGTTCGTGTTCCTCTTCTACGTGTTCGCTGCTACATGCTTCCCCTTTTTCTTATTCATACGTCATCGCATTTATCAGCTCGTTCAGTCGCATAAGTTTCCTTGTTTTAGCGGATCACGTTAATGGCAACGTATTGATCGCTTTGCATATATCCATATGTAAAAGTCAGATTAACTTTTATCCTCCCCCCATTGTTTTCATTTACGTGTGGCATGGCCATTTAAGCATACAACACATATTTATTTATAGTATTCCCTACGACTTTTCCCCCCGGAGTTATTTCCTCTATCATAAAAAAAAAAAAAAAAAGAAGAAAAAATGCAATCCAAGTTTTGGGCCAAGGGCGCGGACGACGACAGTGGGGACAACATTACTGAATCCTCTGATGATGAAGTTGATGTAAGGAGGAAAAAGGAAAAAAGCGGGCAAGAGCGCATATGAGATTGTCCGTATCACCCATGCACATAACATATATGCCTGTTACGTGAATGATCATACGCTCAAACTGTATCGCGGCGCCTACCAAAAGCGAGCGCTTAAACGCTAAATGTTAATATTTGTAGAAATTTTTTTTTTTTTTCCCCATTTGAGTTGCGTGCGTGATGGGAATGTCCGCAAGATACCCCTCTACATGCACGCCGCTAACCGAATCACCATTCCTCATCGTTAAACCCGTTCACCACTCCGCAGGACAAGAAGCCCCTAGTATCCGCGCAGGCGGAACGCTGGGCAGCCATTGACAGCAGCAGCTCGGAGGAGGAAGAAAGAGTAATAAAAAGCTATGAAGGAAAGAGAATAGATTTCTACAAGAATATTGGGAGCAGTTTAAATGAGTGCATGCAAAGTAGTGACTTCAATCAGCTGCTAAAGGATTATGAGAACGTGTACAAGTTTATGGTTAAGGAAAGTTCTGAACGAATTCCAAATTTTGCCATTGTGTACTTGGATAAACTTTCTAAATATGTTGAGACCACATTTCAAAACAATGTAGAGAAGAAGGACCTGAGTAAGAGCAAAGCACAGACTCTGAACAAATTAAAAGCAAAGATCAGAAAATGCAGTGCGTATTATCAGAGTAAACTAGATATGTATCATGAGAATCCGGAAGAATTTAAGGCAGCCATGCAGAACGAGGAAGAAGACGAAGACGAGGATGAGGAGGCGGACGATGATGAGGAGGAGGATGAAGAGGAAGAGGACGACGCAGAAGACGGGGGAAAAAAGAAAGAAAAGGCAAAGGAGGAGAAGACCCCTGGGGAGGACGACAGCGATGATTGGTCAAATAGCGAAGAGGAAGAATATGTATCGGATGACGCAGATGATAAAACAAAAAGTGCTATGAGTAAATGGGGATTGAAAACAAGTGAAAAGGTGGAGAAAAAAAAAACACTAAAAACCAAAGTGAAAAAGGAAGGAACGAAAAAGGAAGAAAAGGTGGTAACACATGTAGACGAAACTCAGTCTGCGAAGAATAAAGCATATGCAGAATTGTTAAGCACGAAAAATCTGTCAGAAGAAGTCATACGAAATAGAGTAAAATTTGTCATTGAAAAAAGAGGAAGGAAAGGATTAGACAAACATGAACATATTAATATTTTGTCCAAGTTATCTGAGCTAGCCAAAACAGTAAGCACACAGTCATATATAGAAGTACTGGAACAGTTGATTAACCTCGAATTTGATGTGGTCTCAAGTGTGTATACCTATATGTCCTTCAACATTTGGAACAAGGCTTTTAAGTACATTGAACTTATATTAGATTTGCTAATTCAAAATGACAACTTTTATTTAGTGTCCATCAACATCACAGAAGAAATTACTGAAGAGGTTATAAACGAAAAGGAGAAAATTTCCCGATCTTGTAAAACGCTCATTTCGTTTTTGGCCAAATTGGATGATGAGTTGTTGAAGGCCCTTGTATATATAGATGCCCAGACAGAGGAATACAGGAGAAGGTTGGGAAAAACTGTACATATGATTGGCTTGCTTTACAAAGGGTATAATTACGTGAAGTTTAGTAAGAAAATGCCTGACCTCGCAATATTCATTTCGACCAGAATTCTTGAACACATGTATTACAAACCAGAAGCCTTGTTCATGCAAATATGGAATTTTGTTACGAAAGGACAGGATAACAAATCCCTGTCGGTGGATGCGGAGGGAACCACCGGAGAAATGAAGGCAGATCAGCATGCGCAAACGAATGGAGACTGCGATAAGCAGCTGAACGGGGATGCCTCAAATGATGCAGCGAAAATGCCCGCAAAATCAAACGACAAAATGTCACCAAAATATATCGTGGAAAAATATGTGTACGAAATATTCGAACATGGAACGAAGCAGCAGAAGATTAAAGCACTGCTGCAGTTGTCCTTCCACAGAAGTTTGCATGATGAATTTTTAGAAGCAAAGGAATTATTAAATGTTTCTAATGTACACGAACTGGCGCTAAGTTCAGATATGCAGACGCAGATTTTGTACAATCGAAATTTGATTCAGTTAGGATTATGTGCCTTTAGACATGGGAAAATATTTGAAGCCCACTGCTGCCTAGGGGAAATATGCTCCCAAAATAAACACCGAGAATTAATCGCCCAGGGAGTATCAAACTTAAAGAATCAGGAAAAAACTCTAGAACAGGAAAGAGCAGAAAAGAGAAGACTCCTGTCCTTCCATATGCATATCTCCATTGAGCTAATCGAATGCGTAAATAACATTTGTGCAATGCTTTTGGAAGTACCCAATCTAGCAAGACACACATTTGAATCCAAGAAGGATATCATTTCGAGACAGTTCAGAAGATTCCTAGATATATATGACAAGCAAGTTTTTAATAGCCCTCCAGAAAATAATAAAGAAATTATTTTACTAGCCACCAAATATTTGCAAAAAGGAAATTGGAAAATGTGTTGTGAAAAAATATTTAGCTTATCCATTTGGTCCAAATTTAATGATAGAGAAAAGGTACAGAATATTTTACAAGAAAAAATAAAACAGGAGGCCATGAGGACTTACATATTTAGATACATTTCCATTTATGACTCTTTTTCTGTGGACCAATTATGCATCATGTTTGACCTTAATCAGAATGTTGTGCATTCCATTTTGAGCAAAATGATGATTAACCATGAGATTCCTGCATGCTGGAATGAAAGCAGCAGCCATATTCTCATCAACAAGGTGAACCCAACGGCTCTCCAGACCGTCGCCATCAAGTTGGCAGAAAATATCAACGAGATTATGGAGCAGAACGAGCTGACCCTCAACATGCGGAACCCAAAGTAAGCCTTTTACCCGAAACGACAGAAACGCGCACGCAAAAATGCTCAATCTGCGCCACATTCGCGCACGGGCAGTTTTTATGCGCAAACATTCTTATGCACCACTTCTACACCACTTTTACACCATTTTTACACCATTTTTGTTTTCCTCCTCTCCTCTTCAGGTTTATGTTCATGCAGGAGAAACGCACGCAAATGAAGGACGAGAAGTCCAACTGGTCACACAAGAAGGGAGACGGAAAGTATGGAAAGGGTTACCACCAGCACAAAAACGCGCACTACAAGAAGAACTACAAGGAAAAAAGCATGCCAAAAGGCTTTGCTTAAATGTTAACGATTCTGCTTGCGTGTGTATGCGCCAACCGCATTACCATCGCAGTTACATGGGTGCAAAGAGTGTGTGCGTGTATATATGCCTCACCCGCGCGTTCACAAATTTACTCGGTATTTTCTGTGAAGATGATTTCTGCCCGCATCCCTACCCTTGCCAAGTGCTCTTGCGAAGTGCCCCTGCGATGTTCCCTTGCAAACATTTGTATGTTTAAAAACTCCATTTAAAAAGGGATAAAGACAAATCGCATAATCCGGGAAAAAACGAACAGGAAAAAAAAAAAAAAAAAAAAAAAAAACCACATTCGTATGGCACAGGGCAAGTAATGCAACGCTGTCTGCTCACGTTTGAACGTACGATGTGGAAAACGTTGCAGTTATAGTTAGCTTATTTTATTTCACCTCGCCTCACCTCATGTTATGTTGTGCTATACTATTTTTTTCTTTTTCTTTTTTTTTTTTTATATATCAAACTTTTATCAAATTATAATACAGCTTTACTCAAATTTAAATAAAAAAAAAAAATAGCTATTTTATTTTGTTCGTATCCTCTTTATCGCCGTTTTTTGGGGCTGTCGAAAATGTTTTGCCGCCAGAAGTGAAAAAAAAAAAATAACTTAGGGCACAACAGCTGTTCTTCACATTTTAATTTTATGAAGGAGGTGTGAAAGTTAGCCAAACTTGAAAAGTGGCACAATTTGCGCATAACACACCTTTGCCCCTTTTGAGAAGCCAGCCAAACAATGTTCATCACCTACCACACACACAAACTGGTGTGTACCTACATTAGACCAAGAGAGGCGCCTATACGCGAGGGAAGAACACACGCTTGCACGGTACAGCTATGACCCTTTGTGCGAAAAAAGCGTCGATATTTTTTCACACACATTTAATGTGTCAATGTTGAATTTGCAACAAAAGAGAAAAGTTCATGTTGCGCACCTTCATTGTGAGCGATAAGAGCGAAACTTCGAGCGGCCGCAGTCGTGGGGGGAAATTTAAGCACAAGGGGTCGCAAAAGGAGTGGCGAAAGGGACGCGTCGAAAATTATGTCACCGAGTAACCGCGACATTACATCGTTACTTCGTTATTTCCATTATGTTGTACATTTTTTTAAAACATAAAAGATTTTTTTTTTTTTTTGCAAAATTTTTTAAGCATTTACATAAACAATCGCCCGAAGCACGTAATTTCGAGTGAACGCCATTTTTGAGATGGCTGACCAATAACTTCCTGTATGAGGGAGAAAAAAAGAGCAATATTGTGCATTTTAAAAATGGAGAACGTAGACATGCCTTCGCATGAAATGTATGAAGATATGCAGCACGCATTTCAGGAGCAAGACAAGTACAACTTTTTGGCCATATCGGATGGAAGCGGTAAAAAAAAAAATTCAGCAATGTGATAAAAAAAAAATTGCCTCCTAGCTTGCGTACACAGTTACTATACGTAGGTGATATTCACCGTCCAGGTGTACACCTACACAGTTTTACCTTCCGCTCCTTGTGACCCCTCTCCTTCGCAGTGATAAACTCGTACATGAAAAAAAATGTCGTCGACTGGAACAACCGCTACAGCTACAACCAACTGAAGAACAAAGACAGCCTGATCATGTTCCTGGTGAACATTTTTAGGTCCCTTTTTCTTTCAAATTGCATTGATAAAAACATTGACAATGTTCTCTCCAGCATAGAAGAGATGTTCACGGACCACTACTACAATCCCATGCACAGCCGTCTGAAGTATTTGATAGACGACGTGGGTTAGTTTTCCGCCTCGCATTGGAGAAGCAGCAATGTGGGGACGCCAGCTGTGGCAGCATCATGCGAGTAGAACTCTCCTTTTTCTACACATGATGTACATGCTTCGAGAATCCCAATTGTGCACACCCCATGATTGCGCAAAAGGGGAAGTAAAACAAATGGCGACACTGTGCAAGGACCCATTTTTAATTATCCCCTCGCAGGAATATTCTTCACGAAACTGCCAATAAGGAAGGCCTTCCACACATACAACAGGAAGTATAGAATAACGAAACGGTTGTATGCCCCACCAACCTTCAACGAAGTTCGGCACATCCTCAACCTGGCGCAGGTGGGCAGAGAAGGGAGCACCGCAAAAAAAAAAAAAAAAAAAAAAAAAAGGGCGTGTTTTTTTGGACATATATGAGAAAGCTTCTTCCTCGTCTAAATATGCCATGGCTTGCAATTCTTTATGCTGTCCCTTCCTTGCCAACACAGATCCTGTCTTTGGAGGATGGACTAGATTTGCTCACCTTCGATGCAGACGAAACGCTCTACCCAGATGGATACGATTTCAACGACGAAGTTTTGGCTAGCTACATCTCCAGCTTGCTCAAAAAAATGAATATAGCAATTGTTACCGCGGCCTGTTAGTACATATCCTATGCAGAAGTAGTTATAGAGGAGGCACACGTACAGTATAACATTATGTAGGCATGTACACGTACCTCCCCCACAAGTGCATGTCTCAATTTTACCCCCCTTTTTTTACACCTTTAAGCTTACAGCAACGATGCGGAGAAGTATCAAAAGCGACTAGAGAATTTGCTGCGATACTTCGCCAAGAACAACATCGAAGACGGTTCGTACAAGAATTTCTACGTCATGGGCGGTGAGAGTAATTACTTATTTAAGTAAATCGAAAAGGAAACAAAAGAATATATGTACACATATGAGTGTATGGTTAACTTCCAACGAACACATACACACGGAGAGATAATTCATCTGTGCGCAGTTGATACAACAATATCTGCGTCCAAAACGTAACCAAAGAGTTAATTTAAAAAAAAAAAAAAAAGGAATTCCCCCTTTCTCTTCGCACGTAATTTCACTCCCCCCCCCCTTAGGTGCAACGAAGAGGCTAACCTTTACTCCGTTCCAGAAGAGGAGTGGTACCATTATAAAAAAGATGTAGATAAAGAAACCATTGATCAAATACTAGACATTTCTCAAAAATGCTTACAACAGGTTATTGCGGATTTTAAATTATGTGCGCAAATTCAGAGGAAAGAAAAATCCATAGGGCTGGTCCCGAATAAGATCCCATTGGCGAACAATCAAAAGGGTGAGTATCGCACTGCATATCCCCGTGGCGCTCTTTTCGTTTAATCAGGCCCACGAAAAAAACAAACAAATGTGCCGATATATGATTATATTAGCATACATGCCACATGTGTACGCACGAAAACATCCCTCTTTTTAGAGCAAAAGAATTACATGATAAAGTATGAAGTCTTGGAGGAGGCGGTGATCCGCGTAAAGAAGGAAATCGTGAAAAACAGTAAGAGTGGGGAAAGGCGAATGGGGGGCTTATTCACCACGTTGTGCAACACGCGTGTATTTATTCAAATGAGCCTAATTAGAAATGTGCTTCAACTGTGCTTCTCGGCCCCACATCCGTATTTTAAGGACATCCCATAAACATCGCAATTACACATTTTTACCAACCGCGCAGAAATAACGGCCCCTTACTGCGCCTTCAATGGGGGCCAGGACCTTTGGGTAGACATTGGAAACAAGGCAGAAGGGTTAATCATTTTACAGAAATTGTTGAAAATAGAAAAAAAAAAATGTTGTCACATCGGAGATCAATTTTTACACTCGGGAAATGACTTCCCCACGAGGTACGCACCACTCGTCGCATATTATTTATGTCTGTGGAATGGGCGATCGTCCAACGTGTGATAATGTATCGCCAGTTGTAATTTTAAACACCATTATATTACATCGCCTTTTACCAAAAAAAAAAAAAAAAAAAAATCACTCCTCTTTTTTTTCTCGTTCTTCTTTAGGTTTTGTAGCTTAACTTTGTGGATTAGCAACCCACAGGAAACCAAAGCATGTTTAAAAAGTATAATGAACCTAAACATCAAGTCCTTTATCCCTGAAGTTTTATATGAAAATGAGTAGGCATCACACAAAAGTATTCTTCTGTTTGTCGCCTATTCTTTAACACATGGGTAATGTTAAAGCACAACAACTGCGTGTATTTATTCCTGTAGATGGGGCGCCTTAATGAATACCCAAATTATTATATGCCCCTATAACGTGTATGTATGTGTATAGATGCGTTTATACACTTTCGTATGGCGTCAGAACAGTGCGTAAAGTTGGATTGTACTTGACGCTCTTCATTACGGCATGATGCTTCTGGTGATAGTACGCACACTGTTATGAGAAGAAATGTTAAATATATTTTATTCGACCTTTCGCACTGCTGTTAATGAAGAAATGTATTTTTTAATTTAAAACTCAAACGATATATATATTATTTTTTTTTATTCTACTCCTTTATGCTTTTTGCACATCTTCGAGAAATTTTGCAAAAGGGTGAAATAAAAGAAGAGAAAGTGAAAAACGGCGGTTAAAGGAGTAAGAAGTAAAGGGGAGGGAGGGAAAAAAATATATAAATAAAAAATAGCTAACCGAATTGGAACATTACAAAGTAGATATATAATTAGCCCCAAATTTACTCCTGTGTATTTGACTTGTACGTTAATACCCGATCGTCATTTCGCGCATGCTCCATGTCAGTGCTGTTATTCACTACACATGGGCTTGAAGATACTACCCTTTTAACTATGTAATAAAACCGTGCAGATTTATGCTTCTTGTGCCTTATAATTTACGGTGATCTATGTTCATATGTGCATTGACTGTGCCCATGTCATGGTTCACTTAACTGCACACTGGCCTAGACAAGTGCACAGGTATCCGCGTTATGCCTCGAGTGATAATTTGCCTGATCTGTGTTACCTGCACCACTTCGAGGGGGATTAAAGAGTTGATGTGTCCTCCACCGTTGCATAAGCCCGTATGTACCAACACACTAGCGTAATGGGCCTGAACCCTGAAGCAGTCAAAAAGAGTTCCTTTGTTTGAAGTCCACCCCGTGAAACGTGTGTTGTTTTATCCGCCGCACACGCGATTGCGACAAAGTGTTGCGTCGCTCTGATGTACGCTTTTACTACACCAAATTTGTGTGTTCCTTTTTAAGAACTGATAATTAGTGTGATGAAAAATTGTTTGAATGTTTACCTTGCATGTTCATAATTTTTTAGAATCATAAAAGCTAGCTAGGCTTGGTTTGCATTTTTTTTTTTTTATTTCACATTTTTTGGCTAGCTGTTCATAACAAAAAAATTTTTAACCCTTCAAGGGAGTATATCCCCCTCGCAGAGTTACAAAAGAAACAGTCTATGTTGGCCCCCACGTGCGCATTTTCTAAAATAGCGATACATTTTGAGTATAGTGCAAGCAGTTACATGTGCGAGTAGTTTGTGCCCGTTTGAGTCGGCTATTTTGTGCCTTTTCTCATGCTGCTCAATGCCAGTACGGCATTCTTAAACACATACAGAACACACAAAGGTAGACACATGTGCCACACGCGTATACACACATGTATATGTGCCGAACATATAAGGCTCTCTCGCGAAATGCACGCAGATAGGTAACAGCACCATGAAGATACCATACTTGAAGCTTTTTTTTTTGTTCTGTTGGAATATTTTGACAAAATTGTGTTGCGCAAATGAGGAAACCAGTTTTGCAAATTTAACATGGGAATATGACTTATTCAGCATAGCTGATCTGCACGGAGATATGAATGCGTTTTTAAAAATTCTATTAAATGAAAAAATAATTGATAATGATCATAATGTGATACGAGAAAATGTGCTGATAGTCATAACCGGTGATGTTTTGGACCCGTCTTATGATGACATAAATATATTATATTTTATCGAGCAGTATAACGAAAAGGGGAAAACGCTGAATTCAAAAATTTTAATGGTTTTGGGAAATCATGAAGTTAAAAACATGTGTTTAAAATTCAATAAAGTGGAAAAGAACCCAGAGAAGTACAAGAAAAGGAATGACATGTTCTCCACAAATGAAGCGATCTACAACATTTTAGTGGACAAGCCATTTGTTCTGAGGGTAAATGAAATGGTGTTTTCACACGCAGGGGTGTTGCCATTTTATGCCTCTTACGGTATTGACTATATAAATAAGGAGGGGAAAAAGGAAATAGAAAATAATTGTAAACTCCTGTTCAACAAAATACAAAGAAAAGAAGAGTTTTGCGTAAGCTGTGATTATGGGCCTACATTAAATCGGTATTTCTCTTTTGTGAATCATGGTATTTTAAAAAGGTGGATGGTTTGTTCCACTTTAAACAAATCGTTAAATTTGTTAAGTTCGAAAAGAATGATAGTTGGGCACACTGTTCAGAAGAACAAAAAGATCAACAGCTTTTGTGATGAACAATTGTTGCTAACGGATACAGGCATAAGTAAATGGAAGAATGGAGTGATATGTTATGTGCAGTATTTTAAGGACGGTACGTTCGATGTACGCTATGTGTGAAAATGGGGTTTTGTCTTTTTTTCTTTTTTTTTTTTTTTTTTTTACCTTTGTTTTACTTTTATTGTTCATGTTGTGTGGAGTGGCGCTGGTGATATTTCACGTGGGTCGCACTGTCGTGCTTGTTAAAACTGTGCATTAACATGTGTCAATGGGTTGATATGCTAAGATTTCTACACCATGTGCGTTTTTTTTTTTTTTTTTTACATACCTTTCATTGATTTTAGAATGGGATGATATACCAAGTGGGTACGTTTATTTTACTTCTTTTTAGCATTTGCATGGGATAATTGTACCGATGTAATATACACGCCCACGAGCTTGTACGTTTCTGCAAGCGTAGGAGTTATATTTTTCATGGGAGAAGCTACGCGGGATAATGCAGCCAATTGTTGCACCCGTGTTGGCTTTCTCTGAATGCACCATTTGTACCTTTTGAATACATGACAATGGTGAACATATATGTGTCCATTTTTTTTGGCGGACGGATATATTATCGTTGCGATTTCGGCATGTTCGTGCCTCCTCGCTGTAAAATTAGTTCCCCTGTTTATGCGTATATTTATTTATTCTCTTGTGTACCTCTCCACTATTCTCAATTTTGCCTTGCCTACTGAAACCCCGCGCACAATTGTGCCTATAAGATACGTACGTACCGTTGGTGTCATCCATAAATGCAAAGGTACACACAAGGAGGCGAGGGCCACAAGTGACGAACTGTAAATCCGATTAATTGGCGATATTCAAATAGTGACTGTTGCAGCAGTATGAGGTTCACATCCTGCACACAAAGAACATATAATACGTGCAAAATTACGGTTCGTAAAAATGAAGGGAAAAAAGCAACGAAATTTGAAATATACGAGTATAAGTATGACCAATTTGTGGACATTCGCGCATGTGATTTCCCCCACCCCCCCCCGCCCAAAAGTTATGCATAGCCCACTTCCATTTTAATATGTTAATTTTTTAATACACAACTCTCTACATATTTTATGTTACGAATGGTTGTTCTTGCTGGTACATATTTTACAGTGCAGGCGTTTTTTATTCGGCATTTTTTATTTTATTTATTTTTTTTTTTTCCCTTCTTCCCGATTATATTTTTCCTTTTAATGTTAGCGAATTTGTGTTATGTCGTGGGTGTCTCTCCCCCCGTTGAATTTTTTTAAATAAAGAAAAATGTGACCATATTAAATACATTTTATGCGTAAATGAAGTCATAACAAATGGCAGATAATTCAAAGGTGTTTTTTCTTTTTTTTTTTTTTTTTTTTCTGTTTTATCCATTTTGTTAGTGTTTACATGTTGCTTCGCTTTGTACGCGCATATATTTTTGCGTTTTGTAAAAGTGTGCCCCATGTTTTCCTTGTTCGCCCAACATATGTTCCTTTTTTTTTTTTTTTTTCTATGTTCCATTTGTTATGCATGTATGTATAAGTGTTGCGCATGCGAACCCCTCGCAAATCCGCCATCGCTAGATTTTGTGGCACCTTTTTTTTTTTTTATATCTACCTGTTTTTCCATACCTTGTTCCATTGTGCAAATTGTAATTTCCCTGCGAATCGTATGCATTATATAAAAATGCGTAATGCTGTACACGTGGCCCGTCGCCACACTGGAAATTTGCCGCGGCATTAAATGCGTTCCTTCTTTAAATCGCTCGAGCTGTGCCCCATCATATCGTTATCAATTTGTGATCGAAGGGCAATTAATTTCCAAATTTTACGCTGTTCATGCTCATATTTGTATGTACATATAAGTTGTGTTGCATTTATATGTATATATAATAATGTACAATATATAAAATGTAATATATACACTTTTCGTTTCTTTCCTTTTTTGCATCGCAATTGTACAATGGCATACATTACTTGTAGATTTAATTTTGCCAGTTAGTCAGAAAAAGTACGATTAATTTCCCGATTTGAAATATTTAGTAATTGTATTATCTCCCTTTTTTTTGTGAAGCTATTGTTTAATTTTTTTTTTTTATAAATCCCAAGGGACAGTCTGCGTGTAGCGCGTGTATGATGGGCGATGCTGACAGGGGCAGGCGTTCGTCCACGGTGCCGATATAGGTATGCTTATGCACATAAGTACGTGCATGAGTGTGAGTCCGCCTAATCGCATGTGCGCGTGGAACCCTATAGGGTAGTACAGTGTACATTTAGTGAACACACCGCACCTACCACACCGCACACCTGTTGCCGCCCAGTTGTGCGCACGTGCGTATAAAGACGTACATATAAACGTGTACATATAAACGCGCACATATATGTGTACCTGTGCGCACACCCCGTGCGACCCCGTCGGAAGAAATGCTCAAGGGCAAGAGCAACCACGAAGATGTCAGCGATGACGACTTTGTTAGCGAACGGCAGATTTTCCAAGGTCCAAACAAGACTATCCTGACACTAGAATCCATTCACGTCGTTAAAGGGATTGACAAGGATGTAAAGAAGAGAATAGAGGAGGGCAAGGTATATCTCAGCGATATAAGTCCTGTGAAAAACGCAGAAATAGAAGAAGCCTTTTTGAAGAGCTTACGTGACAATGCTTTGAAAAATAACATCATAAGTAAAAAAAAATATTATAGTGGCAAGTCCACTAAAGATTTGAATATTAAAATAGAAGAGAACTACACATGCTTCAGCTTAGACCCTGCCCAGGCGCATGGGGGAGGGCACACCGACACAGGCGACCAGGCTTGGCACAGTGGTGGTGGTAACACTTTGAAGAGCCCCAATGATAGTGAAGAATTGGGCAGCGGAGCGGTGGGCAAGCGGCCAAAAGGGAAGCACAGGATGCCCCAAAAGAATAAGGCCAAAGGGGAAGAAGACGAAGAGGGAGAAGACAACGATGACGACGAAGACGGGGATGAGGTCGATAACGATGCCTCCAGCCAAGCGGAGGAGGCAAGTCAGCCACACTACGACCACAATAACTCCTGTGAGCAGAAAAGTCAAAAAGCAAACTTGCTGGAAAAATTCTCCTTCAACGATTTCCCAGAGTTGCTCGAAAGGGAAACTATCGATTACATAAAAAAAAAGGAGAGAAAGTTACAAAAAAAAAGATTAAACGCGAATTTGGAGGCCCTAAGGTTGCAGTACATACCAATCAATAATGATAAGTTTAAAGATATTCCAAGAGAAATTAAAGAAAATATTTTGGCCCTATTCGCATGTATCATAATTAAACATATAGAATCGTTTGACGATATACAAGTGCAAAATCATTTGGAGGAATTGTCCAGATCTTTCCTCAAACAGATGTCAGATTTGCTGGTTATAGATCCCCTAGCGTACAAATGTATCATGAAGCCGCTAGAACAAAGAGAGTTAATTAGGGATATCACGGGTGATAAGAAAATATATCAATTGTACGAGAAACCATTTGTCGATAATTTATTGGTACAAATACAGGACCTTCAAGCAGGCATAGATTTGAAGTTTAAAAAAGTGGTGGAAGAATTGAACAATGAAATGGATTTTTGGCAAAATGATCACATGACTGATGATCACAATAACGATTTGTTTAGTGATGTGGAGAGGGACATACCATACGGCGTTGAAAGGTGCTACAGCAACAGTAGCAACCTTCTCGACGATGATGAAGACGATAATGGAGACAGCAGGAGCGATGCCAGAAATTTGTCTTCTATTCGGGGTAGTTTTGTCCAAAGAGAAATTGATGAATCGTACAATGGGAATGCTATCCATGATTACTTTTCCTTGGGAAATAACAAAAATGCCCTGGGCTGTAATAAAAACGGGGGAGGTGACAATTCAGCGGTACACAGCATTTGCTCCCCTTCCCCGGTACCATTAGGGGGAAGGGATGATGAAAGTTGTGTTGACACACAGAGTGGGATGAAAAACAACAAAACGAATCCCCCACATAATGAAAAGAGGGCCCCCTCGGAATGTCACACGGGAGGCCAAATGATGCAGGAGCAGAGCACCAGCCTGTATGAAGAACACAGGTGCAAGGCTCATGCAGGAGTTGACTTGGATAGTAAGGGTGACGCTGCGAATGATGAGTCTAGTAAAACTGCCCGTGGGGATCCCAGCCAAGATGAGCAGGAACACAACGTGGGCAATGACCTCCCCAAAGGTTCAGGCGAAAGTGGCCACACTGATGGCGCGAAGCAGTTCAAGAGTGAGAAATGTCCTGGGGAGTCGGAGAAGACGAACGCCGCAGGATCATTACAGACGACCGTGGAGCAGTCTGAGAAAGGCAAAACTACCAAAGTTGTGTCTGACAAACCCGGCGCGGACCAAGCGAGCAAACCCATCACCAAGGGCGCTAAGAACATGCCCGCGCAGGAAACTGAGTCTGATGCAAAATATCGCGAGAGTGTAGGTGCGAGCATCCAAGCGAGGATCAAAAGGAGTATTAACCGCTTCGAGTCGTTCGAAGGGGAAAGCGACTATGAAGAGAGCGACATTGAGAAACACCTAAACCATGGGGTGCCCACGAGAGGACCCGAAGTGAAGTCAGTGCTTCTCAGAGATTTAATCACTACCTACATAATGACAGGAAATAATAATGCAAGAATACAATTATATTTCCAGAAGTTTGCGAGGTGCTTAAAAATAAATGAGTTATTAATTTTAAGGATAGAAGAAAATTTGGCGGCAGATTTAATAAGTGCTTTACAGGCATCTACAAATGAGACTTGCAAGAGGAAGAATATAAGGAGGATAAAAATAGCAGCTGCTGCATTAGGTGGTGGAGCTTTGATAGCCTTCACTGCAGGGTTAGCTGCTCCTGGTATTATAGCAGGTTTGACTGCGTTAGGTGCTGGGGGAAGTAGCCTTACAGCCTTCCTGGCATCAGCTAGCGGTTTGGCTTTTATTGTGTCCTTGTTCGGCGCAGGAGGAGCTGGATTGACAGGGTATAAGTACAGCAGAAGAATAGCAAACATAAGAACATTTGAATTTATGATGCTAAATGGAACTCTCTCAAAATCGCTAAGTGTATGTGTATGTGTTAGTGGGGAAATACAAACAGATGAAGATATAACCAACCCATGGATTGATGTCTTCCCCAATTGTTACTGTGATTTGTATGCATTGAAATGGGAAAACCATTTGCTAAAAACATTGGGTTCTTTGATCGAAACAATGTTGTCTCAAGAATTTGCAATAACGGCTAGTCGAATATGGCTGCAGTATACCATAGCCAGTACGCTCAGTGCTGCTTTGACGTGGCCATTGGCACTAATTAAATATGCCTCAAGCCTTGACAACGTTTATTTACTCATACGGGAGAGAGCGCAACAGGCAGGAAGAATACTAGCAGAAGCTTTGAGTGACAGAAACACGGTTGGCCAAAGACCAGTTATCCTTATTGGGTACTCCGTTGGGGCTCGTGTTATTTTTTACTGTTTAAAATATTTGCACGCAAAGAAGCTTTACAATATTGTTAGTAACGCTATATTTATAGGCCTCCCCGCAACTACCAGCACAAGGGTGTGGGAGCAAATTAGGATGGTGGTGACCAACCGAGTGATTAATGTTTATTCAAAGAATGATTGGCTCTTGGGGTTCCTCTACAGGTACATGGAGTGGAAGTTGAGTGTCGCTGGCCTTATCGCAGTCAATGTGCCAAATGTGGAAAATTATGACGCCAGCGGCATTATCCACAGCCACTTGGATTATAAGAGGAAGCTAAAAGACATTTTTAATTTGATCAACTTTGACATGTGACACTCCGGCGGGAGAGAGGCAGCGATAAGAAGTGGTACTGGCCAGCCATGTAGGTGTAGTAGGGGTTCAGGCCCTCTTTCCGATGCCCCACGAAAAGTAATCCCTCATGAACACCCACGTGGAGCAAACTTCCGCCCCTACACGATCACACACTACATGTACATTTTAATTTTCAATTTTTTTTTTTTTTTGCACGCAGTTCGATTTTTTTAAAACACCCGAATATGTATCAGCACGCAGAAAATGCGCGCATCCTTTATAATCCCCCCTCCTCCTATATGATGTGCATTTTTGTTATGTCTGTACATTTGCACTCCCCTTTTGTTGTTATGAAAAGGTCAGGGTGCATTTCATTTTCACTTTTTTAAACCGATGGTCATTATTACACTTTTAAACACATTCCGCAAGTTTGGATGAGACGCGAGCCAAAAGTGCGAGGTGTGATGAAATAGCAACCAGGGGTGTGTATCACCACACGATGTAAGTAAGAGTATCCATTTGGTGGTTTGGTTTCTCGAGTTCAGTTATATATATTTATCAAGTGGGTCATTCCTTTGTGGGCTTTTTTCCATTTTGCACAATTGGAGAACATCACAACAAAGGCGATGTGTCCGCTATATATTTTTTTGTCCAATATTGTTGTACTTTAGAATTTAAAAAAAAAAAAAATGGTAATAAATGGGCAGTTAGCCATAAGGTTGTTTCGCAAAAACAAAAAAAAAAAAAGGGAAAAAATGGGATTATACGGGGTGTATATATATCCGTGGGTGTCCATTCTGGCGAACGCCTTAAGGTGGCGCCATCTGAACGAACATGGTATAGACATGGCCGTATTACCAAAAACGCTCGTGTGCTTTCCAACGTTCGTCGGGCAATGCTTCAAACGGTAAGAGGCTTCTTCACCGTGTGCACAAATTTGAACACCCGTGGGTGATACCCTTTCACTAGGTATGGCACGCAAAAGCGCAATTGCATAACCATAGCGAGGGTCACGCAGGGGAGCAATAACAAATCGGGTTGAACATTACTTCTACACGTAATGTGAAAAAAAAAAAAAAAAAAAGTCAAATTAAAACAAAGACAAAACGTTAAAATCGGGGTCGTCCTGATTATCGTTGTTTTGATTCACGTTGTAGTCCACATCTTCTTTGTCTTCGAAGATGTTGAGGATGTTTCCATCCGTGTCGCTCGCTGCGCTGCCTTTCTTCTTCACGTCCTTATCATCTGCAGAGGGGGGAAAATACACAAACATGTATAAAAGTGCCAGTAAGCGGTCTGGGGGCTTTCCGAAACAAAAAAGGAAGAAAAACAAATTACACACGAAATGTAACACACACAACGGTTAGGAAGTATAACACAACGTGTGCTGGATGCTATACTCGCCGCTTTCCCCCTTACCGTCAGCACTGAACGATGATGCGTCGCTATTGAGGTCCCCAGAAGTCTCGATCCTGCCATTCTCATTCTCGTAGGCATCCAAATCGATTTCCTTGTTCTTCTTTATGGCCTCCTCAATCTTCAAGGGGTTATTCCTCCTCTCCTTCTTATACTTGTCCCTAATTTGCTTGTCCGTGAATTTGGGTAAGAAGGCACGCACCATCATTAAGTCCACACCGAACATTTCAATGGCTTGATAAAATTTATCTGTTTCTTCTTCCGTCCATTTAAATAAAGCCGTTTTTTTATAAGCATTATTGTAGGTCAATATTTGGCTCTTATTCAAGTTTGCATTTAATTTTCCCCTTTTCGACATTAACATGTTCATACGGTTACTATGAAGGGAATTCTCACTCATAATAATATTTGAATTATATTTTTTTTTATCTTCATAAACGACTTCTCCACTTTCTGTTATGTTTAATTTGTTTGCATAACTTTGCGGTGGGCCATCGATCAGGTTGATAATATCGTCTTCGTTATTTTGTTCCGCGACGTTGTTGTCCTGTTCGCAGTTCATTTCATCCTCTGCGTAGTTGTGATCTACAGGGTTTAAGAGTGTGTCCTCATCGGTTATCAAATTATCTCCTCTCGCGGACATTGCTCCTGCTGTTTCCTGGGGATGCGAAATATTTTCCTCCATTTCGAGACTTCTAAAAATGCTATTGACAATATCATCAGCCTCTTCCTTACTGGTGGTAGTAGTACCATGCACATTAACATCTACTCCTCCGCTGTTCCATTCGTGATTGGCCCCCATAAAGCTCAAGTCATTTTTATTTGTGTATAGTCCACCATCCTCCCCAAGTGTTACATTTTCTGATTCCCCTTCTGCCTGCTTTGCGCCGTCTATCTTTAATTTCTTCCTTCCTTTTTTCTTTTGCACTAAGTCCCAGATGGTGCCTCCATTATCATCTGCGAGTGGATCGATTACCCGAAAAGTGAGACTACAGGCACGAGTAAATATGCAGACCACGGAGCAGGGGCGTGAGAAAGAGGGTAACAAACATGTGTAACATACACAACTCGTAAGCGGAAAAAAAAACATAACCCCGTAATTACGCCAACCGTTATGGTACTTCCCCCTCATTTGAGACCGCGTTGTTTTTTTTAAACTCCTTACCATCAGCATCATTTGTGGAACACGGTGTTTTCTTCTTCTTGTGCATTTTTTTACTTATAAATTCTGAGTAATGCGAGGCGCTGCTAAAAAATTGCTTTTCCTTGGGCGCCTCCAGCTCAGTGTCGTCTTTCATTTCGGCGAGTTCATTTGGGTCCTGCGGGGGGGATGATAATATAAAATGAGGGGCACATGTCACGTAAGTTATGTGCACACGCGCGAATAAGCACTTAAAAACGCCGGTGCAGTGAAGTGGAAAAATTCACACATGCGCACGATTGAAGGCACGCACCGTGCGAAAGTGATCTCTACTCAGTGTCCCCCACTACATGGGGGTTGTAACGTCCCCACGTACCGTGTCAAAATACACAAGGTTTTTGTTCATGTGATTTTCTGGTAACATCTGGTCCGGGTAGTACATCACGTTGTTTGCATTCGCCACTCCGTCCAATTCGTTATTGACGTACGCTCCAGGGTTATTCATTTTCTCGCTTTCTTCCTTACCTCCACTAATACCGCTACCGTGTGGATAGAAATACCCGGTGCTGTTGTTCTGGCTGTTCTCACCGCATCCATCCGTGTGCGCATAATTGACATTCCCGTAGTTATTGTCCAAATGTACGTCTTCGTTTAATGTTTTGTTAAAAGTATTCTGTTGCTGAGCTGTGAGCGTAGTGCTGCTGTTGAAATGGTTGTAGCTGCCGCTTAGAGATTCTTCTCCATACAAGGTTGAGTTGGACTTGCTCTTGCTCTTTTCATTCTGGGTGTAATAATTTTCGGCCTTGTGTTCCACTGGCTTGTTTTCATTTACAAAAAATTGCTTATCGAAGGATGCGCTCGCATTTTCAAGGCCAGTTGACATTTTGCCCATTTTGACTTCAAGGCTGGGCATGTGGTATGCAGGCAGATTATCCCTTTCGCCCCCTTTGTTATTATCCCCTTGTTGAAACGCTCCAAAATCGGTAACCCCCATATCCTTGTAGTAATTCTCTCCATATTCTACATTGTTGAATGACATTTTCTCATTCATGGGGGGAATGTTTTTCGCATCAGTTAGGTTTCCACCTGCAGAATCTACAACCAAGTTGGCATCCATTCGATTTACATTTTGCATCTTCGATTTGTCCTCCAGGTTAACACTTGGGTAGGTAGTCATTCCTGCTATTTGCTTGTGCTGTATACCCCTGGACGCATCATCATAACTGTTCATTTCGGAAATATCACTCGGGTATTTATTCAGAAAGGGGTAGGGAGTGGGTTGGTTGTTCCTCATATTACTCAGTGCGCTGTTCATGTTGTTAACAGGTTGAAAATTGAGGGGGATACCTCGATTGTCCACGCTGCTGCTGCCCATGGCCATAGTTTTGATGTGCATATCTTTCGCGTCCACTTGATCCATGCTTAAGTAGGGGTTGAAGTTACCAACCATGGGTTTGTTCATACGCGCATTGGTAGCGTCCAAAGGCATTCCATTCATGTTTGTACTTATTAAATTGGGGGGCGTTGTGTGATGATGGGGGTGGTAATACATGCCGCCACTACCATCCAACATTGTATACACCCCATTTTTAATTTTACCTTTTTTATTTTTTTCCATTTGTTTCTCTGCTTTCAATAATTGCTTTCTTTTCTTGTCATACATTTTCATCATTAATTTTTGTTCTTTTAATTTTTGCTTTTCATCTTTTTTCATTTGTTTCCTCATCATCTCTTCCATTTTGTCTTTACTTTTTATTTTTCGTGCCGCATTTAGGTTATCATTTAGGGTTAGGAAATTTTCATCCACATTGTGCATATGTACACCTGCCATGTTGCTCATATAGGGATTACTAAACGCTTCCTTGTTTTTTGCGTTTGGTCCTGTCCTCATATCCATTCCATCCACGGGGTTAAGTAATGCGTTATTCAAATGTGCTTCAGCAGGATTGAAGTTTCCGCTTGGTAGGCAACTACCACTGTTACCTTGGGTAGACCCGTTTGGAGGGATATTATACATGGGGGGGACTGCGTTGTACGGAACGTTGTTGAATGGGACCCTGTTAAGTGTAGTATTATTACACGAAAGTGAATTTCCCATGGGCATACCACCATATGGTACATTACTAATAATATTTCCCGTGCCATTACCCTGGTTGTTGAACATATTTCCATCGGTCACTATACCCAGGTTACTGTTTAGTTGTTCATTTACAATGGGTTGTTTTTTGTCGGCACCTATAGAGGCGGTTGTCATGGCCGTGGTGGTAGGACTACCACTCACATTTATGTTTCCGGCAGAATGCACCTTGTCATTTGGCTGATGTGTGCCATCCGAGGGCATGCTGGTCATGCTTCCCACATTGTTCATAGAATCGTCGTCCACGTTGGCGTTCTCCTGGTTGGAGTAATAATTGAGCAAGTTGTTCGCATACACCATATCTACGGAAGCGTTACCATCGTTTGGTGATGGCACATTCACGGGTCCGTTGTTTTTGTGGACATTCTTTTGCGAATAGCTGCCGTTATTTGTCACATGGGGCATGTTCCCATTGTACAGGTTTACTCCTGTATCGGCCCCCGAGGGAAAAACGCCAATCATATTATTATTTGTTTCATAAGGGCCACCGTCTTTCCCCATTTGGTAGGAACCATTTTTGTTCATTAGTTCATCCTGTTCTGCGATGTACATATGATCTTTTTTCTTCTTCCCCTTTTTCAATTTTGCGTTTTTTTTTTCTTTCTTAATGTCATTTGTTACTGATTCGTTGGACAAGGTGCCCGTCGAATCCTGTGTCATTCCATTCGCCATTTCATTAGTCAGGTTATTCATCATGCTCATGTAATTCTCATTCCCTCCATTCATTATCTTGTTCATGTAACTCGGGTTGTCGTGGCTCAACACAGTGTTCATGTAGTTCACATAGTCCATATACCCCAGGTTGTTTATATCGTTTGACTCATTGGGTACCATGGAATCGCTGGTCATGTTAATCCCGCTTGGGGTGTTTGCTTGGTTTGGCGTATTTGTCAGTCCATTCTGGGGGGATACTGCATTTATGCGATTAGCGGAAAAAACCCCATCTGGGGGAACACCTCCGATGGGTGCGTTTCCCGGGTCGACACCATTCATATACTCCATACTGTTCACATAACCCATGCCATTCACCCCAGTGTTGTAGGGAAAGGCATTTCCTGAAAATTGCTGGTTCATCATATTGTCTAGAGCCTTGATTCGCCCCTTGAACCCACTGAACTTTTCTCCACTGACGTAATTCATATCACTCTTAGTCGTTTTGGCTACCTCAGCATTAACGTTATTTGATAAAACTTTGTATTTATTTTTTTCCTCATTGGACAATTGCTTCCACAATTTCGACACATATGAATTTTGTTGTGCTAGGGTTAACCCCATGTCGATATTTTTCTCCTTATGTTCCTTTCTTTTTTCTCGAGCAAAAATGCTAAAGGCAGTAAATTTTCTTTTTTTCTTTTTTTTCTGGGACAAATAATTTTCCTCATTTATTTTGGACGCCTTGGCAGCCCATTCCTTTTTTTTCTCATCAGACAGGCTGTTCCAAATTTTGGCTACTGCTGTTGTTTGCTCGGTGAGGGAACTACCTAAGAACACTTTCTGATTCAGTAACTCCTTTCTTTTTTCTCTCGCGAAGAGAGTAAAGGAGGTTATTCCTCTGATTGCTTTTTTCTTTTGTTCTTTGTTGTCGTCCAAATGGTTCGCGTTCGTAGGGTCATCCATGCCGTACTCATTTAGGTAATCATTCATGTAGTCCTGCATATAGTCGTTGGCGTAATCGTTTGCACATTCACTTCCATACTCATTCGAGTTATCATTGGAGTGGCCATTGCTTCCTCCCATGGGGTACATCCCTTCATAATTGGGGCCAAAATTTGGCGCGCCATTATTTCCTTGATTTGGGGAGTAATTGGCGGGATAGTTAGCCACATAACTGGGGGCGTCATTGCCTGCGTAGTTTTCGCCCTGGGCGCTTTCAAAGTTGTTCGCGTAGAAGCCATTGGTCGCGTTGGGACACGGAGCCCCTTTGGCATACGACCTATTACCGTACGTCTCATTCGGGTGGCTGCTAACATTCATGTATGCATTGCTCTGATTGGGTACATTTGTGTACCCGGCATTGGGATGGGTCACGTTTGAGTAGCCTCCCTTTGGATGAGGCATATTGGAGTAAGCACCCGCAGGGGACGCCACGTTTGTATAAAGGGCACTCCCGGGTTGCACAGTATTATTCACGTAGGGGCCATTGCTGCGTGGAACATTGGAATACGGACAATTTGCGCCGGGCATATTTCCATAAGGGGCTCCCCCTGGAGAAATATTCGAATAGCCAGCACTCGGGGGGTGAACGTTTGTGAACATTCCTCCCCTCGTATGAGCCATGTTGGAGTAAGTTCCACTGGCATGAGGCATGTTCATCATGGGTGGCGTTTTTGAATAGGGTACATTCGAGTAAGGCATTTTTGTATAGGACATGTTCGAATAGGTTGGATTTTTTTTTTTTTTTTTTTTTTTCTTTTCTAACACATTTACATCACTACTTTTCCTTGTGATATTTTTGCCAATGTTTTGAATCAAGTTGCTGGTTCGGTTAAAGTCTTTGAAGTTATATAAATGGGGGATTAAACTTTTGAGTGATATTTTTAATAGAGCATTGCTCTCATTCGTGTTGTCATTGTCCTGGTCATTCGTGTATGCATTACAATTCGCATAATCGCTTGTATTTGCTTGGGCACTACTATCAGCCTGACCAATGCTACACACAAGGGAGGTACTATTCGCGTCGCCAATACTGCTACTCTCAGGACCGCTTCTATCCAATCCAGAGTGAATACCCGTTTTGTAATTGACGCGTGCGAATCTGCTGTCTGTTTTCATCAAGTGCAACTGCTGCATGCACTCATCCACTAAATTTCTCTCTTCCTCAAATTTCAAATCCTTAACCTTCCTCCTTAATTTTCTTAATTTAAAAATAAGTTCTTCCTTCTCGAACTTGAAGTTTATTTGACTTAGCAGCTTCTCGTACATATCAACGTCATTGGAAAGAAGCAACAACAGAAAGTCCGTGTCCTTGTAACTAATGTTATGCATTTTCTCTACATGAATAATGGCATTCATCACATCCTTTGTGTTATAAATAAAGAAAAAGACAAGCTTTTCATTCCTTATGATCAGAAAATATATATTTTTCACGTACACAAATAGCTGCTCTATATCCAGGTCGTTGATGAGGTTATTCTCTCGCAGGTAATTAAATATTTTTTTTTTTATATACTTCTCCGAGTTTTTATATTTGCTTATGAATTGATTTGACTTGAGTTCGTTTATCTTGTTATAGTACATTTTGTAATTCTCCCTCTGGTTTCGACTGTCGCTTGCCTTCTGGCCGTCTTCCCCTTTGTCGTCACCGCGGCCATTTTCGCCATCGCCATCACCATCGCCATCACCATCGCCATCCCCCTGGTCACCCCCTGCACTCTGGTCACCGTTTCCTCCGTGGCAACTTCCACCATGACCACTCTCCCCCTTTCCGCTTTCACCACTTTCGGCGTTACCGTTGTCCACTTCTCTACAGTTGGCTTGTCCGCTGTACGTTTCTCCACTGTCGCCATCCACCCCCAGGGTTATATCCCTGCAGCTGCGAGGGTTACACCCTCTTTCGGAACAGACCCGATGAGACGCATCAACACTGTTCACGGGCAACCCTATCTCATCGCCAAAGGAGGATGGGCAGTAGTACTCATTGGAGAAATTCCCATTTTGAGCAAAGTGATTACTCCTCCTGTTGGGTTCATTTTTTAAATTTTCTTTATCGTAATTTTGTTCATAAAGGGATGGGTGATGAGAAGAATGTGTCTTGATGTTGTAGAGAGATAATTCGCCCCCTACGAATCGCTTCATTTCATCTTTCCTCTCATGTACCGAGTTCAGACTTACAGTAGTGTTGCAGCTACATGGGATGGAGTCATCTTTGCTTGCTTCATCCCCTTCGTGGTATATGGAAGTTTGCTGGTTAAACCCTTTGTGACACTTCTCAATGTCTGTATCGACATCCCCCTCCTCTGCTTCTACATACTCCTTAGCTGCTATTCCATCCTCCGTTTCTATTCCCTCCTTTGTTTCTAATTCTTCCTCCCCCTGTATGGACGTTTCCTTCTCATTCAGAGTGAACTCCTGATCTTTGGTCGTTTCGTCCTCATTAAGGGGGGCACACTTATGTTTACTTGTACTTTCACAGTCGCTTATTCGAGTCAAGCTGTGCACATTGTCGTATAGAAGATTGTTTTCTTCCTTCACATTTGGCAAATATGGGCAATTAAGTATGTTACTGTCCTCGTAATTTTTATTTTCTTTCATCTGCAGCATGTTCAAGGTGTCTCCCCCCTTGACGATATCCATTTTGTGGGGGAAGATGCGGGGTAGGCACGCGATGTGTTCCCTTCTCGCGATGCTACAACGCAACCACTGCACAGCGATCGGACCTTTCTCCTTTTTCACGGCAGTTGGTGATCCTTCCCTTAACTAGCTACTCTTATTTTGTTTACTCAAAAATTAAAAAAAAAAAATAACAAACAATGTACTTCAAACAAAACAAAAAGAAATAAAAAAAACAGATTGGAAAAACTTAGCTGCGGTTGTTGTCCAACATGCATTTATATTATTTTACTATTTACACAAAAAATGTGTTTCGTAGCAGAAGTACAAAATGTAAGTGTTTTCTGCTACGTGTGGGATGAATGAACTAATAGGGGGGGAGCACCTCAACGCCAGGCGGTTAAGACGCTCAAACGTTACAAAGGTACACCACAGCAAAGTGTAACACACCACGTTGTAATAATACTACACCAGCACGGTGGTACAACTATATAATATACTACCTAATCGCACTGGCGCGCGTGAAATAATACTTAAAAAAAAAAAAAAAAAATTAAATACTCTGTTGCCACATTGCTTTGAAAGAAAAGGCGGAACAATTTTACAAAAAGGGGGGGGGGGAGGGGCGAAAAGGAAAATGAAAGGTGAAATGAAAGGAGAAAATGTTATTAAACTAAAGGCTACCGCAGGGAAGCACTCTTTGCTATACTATAACATTTACGCATGTGTCGTTCTTGTCATGTATAAACTTTAATTACTCCTTTGGTTCCTTTCAGATCACAGCAAACTTATTCAACACCCCTCACCAAAAGTGTATGTTTCGCGCATGTTGCGCGCGTACCATAATGCTGTACAATAAATGCAGCAAATGAAGGGATGGCCACTACATGTTCATATGTATTATGAACATATTTGCGTAATGTACGCCCTAAACGTGCGTAACCTTTCGCGTTCTTTGGCCAAAAATGAAGAACAAAAAAAAAAAATGAAACAAAAAACAAATAATATATGGTATATATAGTGTTTTACAATTATCTGTGCTTTACAGCTATACAAGGTTATTTTTATTATACGTCGCGCATACTCCGAGCGGTCACATGGGTACATATATATTTTACGTACCGTATACTCCAGCATACCAACTCTTTACATGGGGAGCACGCGAAAATTAAAAGGCTACGAAAAAACTCAAAGTTGTTCTTCGCTCTTCCGAATGAGCAACAGGAGCGTTCAATTATTCAAACGGTAACAAAAAATTCACGCCGTGCAACAAACACCAAAAAAAAAATACGATACGTGGGACATGCAAAAACGCGCTTAATCTTTTACTGGTGCCGTGTTGATGACCCTTTGCGCGGCTTCGCTTGCAACTTTTTTTTTTGTTCTTCCATTAAATTTTATTTGCTCTTTATTTTAAGGTTTTACAAAGGAAGAATATTTTATGTAATTGACAGCACTTGTTCCAGTTTATGGGCTTGAAAACGAAAACTTTTGCGCCAAAAAAAAAAAAAAAAAA